AGTAAAAGTAGAAGTACTCAGATCTTGTACTTGAGTAAAAGTAGAAGTACCAGAGTGTAGGAATACTCTGTTACAGTAAAAGTCCTGCATTCAAAATGTTCCTCAAGTAAAAGTAGAAAAGTATTCTCATCAAAATATAGTGAAAGTAGCGACAGTAAAAGTAGTCGTTGTGCAGATTGGTCCATTTCAGAATAATATGTATGATATGTTTTATAATGATTGATCATGAAAGTGTTCTCAAAGCTGGTAAAGGTGCAGCTAGTTTGAATGACTTTGTATACTGCAGGGTAGCTTGTGGATTTACTCCAGGTGGAACTAAAGTCTGATTTAACACTTGATTATATTTCACATCATTCATCCACATCTGTGAAGGAACTAAAGGTATTAAATACATGTAGTGGAGTAGAAGTACAAAGTAGCATAACATTGAAATACTCAAGCAAAGCATAAGTATCTCAAAATTGTACTTGAGTACAGTACTTGAATAAAACTACTTGGTTACTTTACACCTCTGTGAACACATAATTCACCTTAAATCCCCGCACCCTGATAGTGGGCCGCTGTTGTAACATTTAATATTTTCTACATAAATGGATTATTTAGATAATTAAATATCAGAAAAATGTCCGTCACAGGAGCAACTTCTTGAGCATTTTGCCCTCAGATAAACTTTGGTTTTCGTTTCAAACTCTTTTGCCCCGGTAAATATAACATGTTGTGATCACAGCTGACCTACAAGTCATGAGTGTTGACTTTTAACTTGTCACAGGTCAAACTGTAGGGTCGCTGAGAGCCGGTCACTGAGAGCTCACCCAGAATACACACACACACACACACACACACACACACACACACACACACACACACACACACACACACACACATACACACATACACACATACACACATACACACATACACACATACACACATACAGACATAGACACAGACATAGACACAGACACATACGAAGAAGGTTCTCATTTTAGCCTATGAACAAAAAAAACTGTATGAACCGATTGACATACATACACGCACACACACATACATACACATACATACACACATAACAAACTAAAAAAGTGTCAACTGTATGAACCGGGTGACCGACACACACACACACATATGCATACATACACACACACACTCACATACGAAGAAGGTTCTCATTTTAGCCTATGAACAAAGAAAACTGTATGAACCGATTGACACACACACATACACACACACACACGCATACATACATACATACACACATAACAAACTAAAAAAGTGTCAACTGTATGAACCGGGTGACCGACACACACACACACACACGCACACATACACATACACACATGCATACATACACACACACACTCACATACAAAGAAGGTTCTCATTTTAGCCTATGAACAAAAAAAACTGTATGAACCGATTGACACACATACATACACACACACACATACATACATACATACATACACACATAAACAAAAAAACTGTCAACTGTATGAACCGGGTGACCGACACACACACACACACACACACACACACACACACACACACACACACACTGAGAGCTGTGTATGTTGTTGCGGTGGCTCTGGTTGCGTCAGTGATTAGAAGATAAACTTCTGAAGAAAGAGGAAACGTGATGTCACAAATGTCACATGACACTAATGTAAAGGTTCAACTCGGAACAACAGAGAAAGTGCACATATTTCCACCTGAAGCGAGTCAAACCATTGGAAGTGCTGTTAACAGGGCCGAGATTAAAGTGCTTTTTAAAATTATTTTAATTGCCAAGGTACAATCGAAACATCTCTATTTCTTGAGGTCTTCATTCCCTCCAGTTCTCAGCATTACAGTACCCAGAATGCATTGCAGGTTGCAGGTGGTCAGGGTGGTGTTGGCGCCTGTGGGCTTCTGATAAAAACGTTATCGACATCAGTTATAAGAAACAGGATGGTCGCAATTCTCTCTTTTAAGGTACCGCCCCTTTCTTAGAATACTGTCCAGGCCGACCAATCAGAGCGCTCGCTGTGGTATCCTGTGTGTGTGGTTTATTATTAATTCTGCAGAAGTCTATCTGTGGTTTTCTTCAACACATGGACTTTATAGTCTACCCTTTTTTAGTTTTATCTCTTTTCTCCGTTCCTTTTTCTCTTATATTGGTTACTCTCCTCCTGTGTCCTCTCTAATATCCCCTCATTGTCCTGCTTCCTTGTTTCCTTTCCTTTTTCCCCTCATTTAACCCCTTTCTTTTTTTCTTGAAAGACGTTTTTTCTCATCTCCTTTTCTGCCAACTAATTTCCTCTCCTTGTTTCTTCTCATGTGTCCTCTCCTGTCCTGTCTCCTATTGTTTCCTTTCTCGTCTCATTCCCTTGTTTCCTCTCTTAATCCCTCCCTTGTTTCCTCACCTTCTTTCTTTCTCATCTCATTGTCTTTTCCTCTCTCCTTGTTTCCTCTCTTAACTCATCTCCTCTTCTTCCCTCCTTAATTCCACACATTTCCTATTTTGTTTCTTCTCATGTGTCCTCTCCTGTCTTTCCTTCTATCGTTTCCTTTCTCGTCTCATTCCCTTGTTTCCTCTCTTAATCCCTCCCTTGTTTCCTCACCTTCTTTCTTTCTCGTCTCATTGTCTTTTCCTCTCCTTGTTTCCTCTCTTTTCTCGTCTCCTCTTCTTCCCTCCTTAATTCCACACATTTCCTATTTAGTCTCCTCTCCTTTTCTTCCTGTCTCCTCACTTTGTCTTCTTTGTGTGTCACCTTGTTTCATCTCTTTATCTTCTCTTGTCTCCTCTTCGTTCTCCTCTTGTGTCTTCTCTCCTTGTCTCCTCTCTTTACTCATCTCCTTTCCCTCTCTCCTTGTCGCCTCATTTATTTTCCTTTTAGTCTTCTTTTCTTGATTCCTCTCTTTTTACATCCTTTTTTATTCTACTTGTTTCCTCTTTTATCTTCTCTTCTTGTTTACTTTTTCGTGTCTCCTACTTTTTTCTCAGTTCCTTTTCTCCTCTACTTGTTTCCGCTTAGTTTTCCTCCATTGTTTCCTCTCCTTGTCTCCTCTCTCTTTTTTGTATATCCTCCTTGTCTCCTCTATATGTTTCCTCTCATTTGCTATTTTGTTTCGTCTCTCTTCCTTGTCTCTTCTCCTGGTCACCTTTGCATGTGTCCTTTGCATGTCCCCTTTCCCCTTACTTGTTTCCTTTGTTGTCTCCTCTCCTCGTCACCTCTTCACATCTCCTCTCTCTGTATCAGTGGAAATGTAAACTAATGAACTTGATGACTCACACACTCAGTTTATTTCTGAAAAACACCTGCAGTCTTCAATATTTCCAGAATAATCACACACACACACACACACACCACACACACACACACACACACACACACACACACACACACACACACACACACACACACACACACACACACACACACACACACACACACTGACTGCTATCGGAGATTCCTTCTGTTTCTGACACCTGCTGCTGCTCAACCGTGTGTTAGTTTTGTTATATAAGTGTGTGTTTGAGCGTCTGTGTGTGTCGTCCATCGTTCAGCAGCTTTCACAACATCACACTGAATCTCACACGCACACACACACACACACACACACACACACACACACACACACACACACACACACACACACACACACACGCACACACTGCTGATGAGAAAGAGGAAGCTGTCAGGGAGGTTCTGAGAATCTCTGTGGTAACAGACCATGTGACTTGCTGGAAATCAAACCAGAGCCATGCTCATTTGCATACCCCAAAGTGTGTGTGTGCATGTGTGTGTGTGTGTGTGTGCATGTGTGTGTGTGTGTGTGTGTGTGTGTGTGTGTGTGCATGTGTGTGTGTGACATCCTTCTCCAAATTGACTGGTCTTGAGGAAGGTGTCTGTGCGACCTTAAACGTCTTCTGACTTCTCCTTTAGGACAAAGATGAACACATAGTCAGCATTATTGACATTATACCCTCACCGGCCACTTTATTCGGTACGCCTTGCTTGATGTACCGGATTGGACCCCCTTTTGCCTTCAGAAGTGCCTTCATTCTTCGTGGCATAAACTTTACAAGGTGCTGGAAACATTCCTCAGGGATGTTGGTCCATATTGACACGATAGCATCACACAGTTGCTGCAGATTAGTCTGCTGAACATCCATGGTCTCCTGCTTCAGGGATCCACGTTTTGTGGTTCAGAGATGGTCTTCTGCATACCTTGGTTCTAACGAGTGGTTATTTGAGTTACTGTATCATCTTGGACCAGTCTGGCCTTTCTCCTCTGACCTCTGGCATCAACAAGGCATTTTTTCTAGAACTGCTCACTGGATATTCTCCCTTCTTCAGACCACTCTCTGTAAACCCCGGAGATGGTTGTGCGTGAAAATGCCAGTAGATCAGTGGTTTCTGAAATACTCCAGCACCAACAACCATGCCACGTTCAAAGTCTCTTAAATCCCCTTTCTTCCCCGTTCTGATGCTCTGTCTGAACTTCACCAGGTCGTCTTCACCATGTCTACATGCCTAAATGCATTGAGTTGCTGCCATGTGATTGGCTGATTAGATATAGAACAGGTGTACCTAATAAAGTGGCCAGTGAGTGTAGAATACAGACAGATAGTACACATATAAGTGTCAATTAAACTATATTTATCTACATATATGACCTTATTTCTTATTATTGTGTCAAATGTTCTTCCTGATGTCCAGATTTGAAATGTTAAAAATGCAGATTATATAATCTTTCCTGAGTTTACCGTGTATTTGATAGTTATCATTCCTCCTGTTGCAAACTCAAAAAATGCACTTTAGGAATTGAATTTATCTCAATCCATACAATATATCCAATCTAATCTATCTATAAGTAACACCATTTTAAGTACACAGATATACAGGACACATGCACACTATACCGCTACTATCCAGGATATGTTTTTACCGCTGAAAACATTGTTTGTTAAATTTATAAAAAGATTTACGAGTATCATGTCCCTTTCTGTGTTCCAGCTGATCAGGTGTATGGAGATCAGGACATGCATGAAGTGGTCAGGAAACACTGTATGGACTACCTGGTGAGTCTCTCTCTAAACTCTGACTATTAAAACATCTTTCTCCTCCCGTCTGTGTTTGATAAAGCTGCTTTTCCTTCCAGATGAAGAACGCAGACTATTTCTCCAACTACGTGACGGAGGACTTCACCACATACATCAACAGGAAGAGGAAAAACAACTGCCACGGCAACCACATCGAGATGCAGGCGATGGCGGAGATGTACAACAGACCGGTGGAGGTTTACCAGGACGGCACAGGTGAGTTCCTCCAAAGGCTGCTGATCAATTGTTTGATAAAGTGGTGCAGTGATGTTTTTTTGTAGGCCGTCCAGGAAGTTACAGTGGATTTTTCCATTAGACTTCTGAATATTGCAGGAAATAATCTCTGCTGCAAACAAACGTTTATGATACTTACATGTTTTGTTCAGCAGGATGTTCTCGACATATTAACACCACTTTATGATTTTTGAAGTAAAAAGGTAACGTTAGGCTATAAAGGAACTACAGCACGGTCACATGACTTCACATCACCACCGCTAAGCTAAGGGCGGCTAATGTTGGGCTATAAAGGAACTACAGCACGGTCACATGACTTCACATCACCACCGCTAAGCTAAAGGCGGCTAATGTTGGGCTATAAAGGAACTACAGCACGGTCACATGACTTCACGTCACCACCGCTAAGCTAAAGGCGGCTAATGTTGAGCTATAAAGTAACTACAGCACGGTCACATGACTTCACGTCACCACCGCTAATCTAAAGGCGGCTAATGTTGGGCTATAAAGGAACTACAGCACGGTCACATGACTTCACGTCTCCACCGCTAAGCTAAAGGTGGCTAATGTTGGGCTATAAAGGAACTACAGCACGGTCACATGACTTCACGTCTCCACCGCTAAGCTAAAGGTGGCTAATGTTGGGCTATAAAGGAACTACAGCACGGTCACATGACTTCACGTCTCCACCGCTAAGCTAAAGGAGGCTAATGTTGGGCTATAAAGGAACGACAGCACATACTCTTGTTTTCTACTGCCTTTTTTTTATCTCGTCCAATTGTTACTTTTTCTGAGCCTGTCTTCTTATCATACCGTTTTGCCTATAGAGTGGCGAAGTCACGCCCACTTACTTCCGGGTAATGGGACCTTATTTCGGAAAAATTATGCATTGAAGTCAATGGGGAGAGAAAACTTATCTTTCGATCCCGTTTGAATTGTGCCATGAATTACACATATGATGTTTGTCAATCTTAAAAAATCATTTCCATGTCAAAAAAGTCACAGTTTGTCGTAAAACTGTTGAAATATAAGACTATGAAGAATACGCAACTAGAAAGACTACAAATCCCAGAGTCGCGTAAGTGATGTCACAATTGTTTTCCTCCACTAAGATCTAAGATCAGCGCCATATAGATATAATCTATCTATATGGCGCTGGCTAAGATAAGATAACTTTAACAAGATGCCTGTGTGCTTAGTACCAGGTTGTTATTATACCAGCAATGGGTCTTGCTCGTTCTTTCGCTTCCCGTCTGATGAAAGGACCAGGAGTGTGGATCAAGCTAGCTAGTAGCTAGCACGTTAGTTAGCATTACAGCCGTGTCATTTTTATTAGCCTTAACATGAAGTAACATTAAGTAACCCACAATGTTAAACAGTAAGAGTAGTAGTCATATTTCGTGAACCCTTTGAAGAGTACTGTCACCGGTGTGATCATTCTATAATACACAATGTAAGCCCGGGGGAGAAATGCTAATGCTAACGCTAGCGATCTTTTCTACTTCATGCTATCTGCACAAATGGTTGACATTAAACATTAAAACGACCAGGCAGTTCAGAGAGAATCAAAGGAAGGAAGGCAGGCAGCTTTGCATGACATTCTTCAGGACGTGTTTCATTGTGGTGATAGTGAGGGTCGTCAATCGTTTTATTGACAAGACAGTAGTGACGGCCATCTTGGTGACGTGTGTTGTTGACCAGAGATCAGATGTAGTTCATTGAGCGTTTCACACAAACAAATGTGTTACTTCACAGTTTTACGACACATTTTTTTTTTTTTGACTTGCAAAATTATCTTTTAAATTGACAAACATCATATGTGTAATTCGTGGCACAATTCAAACGGGATCGAAAGATAATCTTTCTCTCTCCATTGACTTCAATACATAATTTTTCCGAAATAAGGTCCCATGGAGGTCCACCGGAAAGGGAGGGACTTCGCCTCTCTATTACGTATATATCTTGCCTGTAGTAATAAAAAAAAAAAAAACTCCAGATCTGTCGCCAACCGCCAATCACATCTCACCAACCTAAACCCTCCCCTCTTTCTGCTACAGAGCCAATCAACACGTTCCACGGTATCCACCAGAACAACGACGAGCCAATCAGAGTCAGCTACCATCGCAACATCCACTACAACTCGGTGGTGAACCCCAACAAGGCCACCATCGGGGTTGGGCTGGGCCTGCCCGCCTTCAAACCCGGGGTACCAACACCTGACATATTTAAAAACCATAAAACTGTGTGAGGGGTGGGGGTTATACGACATAGTATAGAGACATTCAGGTGCATGCAGGTGTTATAACAACAGGAAGTTAGTTGTTGTAGTTTGCCTGCTGATTGGAGGAAGACTGATTTGTATAGAATAGTGTTTTCATAAGACTTGAATTCTTTACTTTGACACAATGCCTGTGAAAATATGAATATTTGATACCATTTTACCACAGGGACAAATTTGACACAACACTGAACATGGAATTTAAGTAACAAATGTACATTTATATAAAAAATTAAGGGGGTTTCTGTGTAAGTTATTTCTCCAGTTCCCATCCCCAAAGCATCATGGGAACTGTAGTTGATCAAGTTAGTCAGAAGAATTGAATTTGAATTTAGTACAGTGCCTGGGGTTGCAGTCATTCAAACTGTTGACATATTGACCACTTGTTAGCCAGGACAGGTGTGTGTGTTCGTGTATTAACTGACAGAGGAATCCCCCCCCCCTCCCTCTGCCTCCCTCCCTCCGCCCTCCCTCTCCTCAGTACGCCGAGCAGACGCTGATGAAGTCGGCCATCAAGACGTCGGAGGAGTCGTGGATCGAGCAGCAGATGTTGGAGGACAAGAAGCGAGCGACGGACTGGGAGGCGACCAACGAGGCCATCGAGGAGCAGGTGGCCCGCGAGTCCTACCTGCAGTGGCTACAGGACCAGGAGAAGCAGGCGAGACAGGTACAAAACTGGTTTCTCCCGATGTGTAGAGCGTCATCTGAGCAGTAAACTGAACTTTATCTACAGGGCTGTAACTAATGCTTCTGTGTGGGGAGGAGAGAGGTTATGAAAAGCTTTATAAACAAGTATGATAACTTAAAGACAAGGAAACATTCACCAGAGTGCACCGCTAACAACGATGATGACGTACTTTTACAGGTCAACTTTAGATTAGGATTGCAAGAGCCAAAGACGAGCTGCAGATAAATACATTTGTAAAGTGGTGCAGTGATGAGGTGTTATTGTAGTCCCACCCTGCAGTTAGCATTCAACACATTCAGAAAACTATTGACAACGAGACGAGGGAACAGGAAATGCTGACTCATTTCAGAATTGTAGGACTCATTCCTGCCCCCCATCTGCAAGGCTGTAACTAATGCGTCTGTGTAGAGAGGAGAGCGGTTAGAAAAGCTTTATAAACAAGTAGAATAACCAAAAACAAGATGATGACATACTTTTATAGGTCAACTTGGAATTAGGATCCGGGGTCTCCTTTAAAATACAATTATTACGAGCCAAAAACTAGCTGAAGAACTAAGCCCACCCAGAAGACAGCATTCAGAAAACCATTGACACTGAGACGAGGGAACAGGACATGCTGACTCATTCCAGAATGTTAGGACTCATTCCTGCCCCTTTCTATACGTTTTTGTATTACATTACCGTTGATGTTTTCCTGGTTTTCAGCCCCGTAAAGCCACGGCGACCTGCAGCTCGGCGACGGCGGCCGCCTCCAGCGGACCGGACGACTGGAGCGCCCGGTCGCCGCGGCAACGCGACTCCGACCCCTCCCACTCCCACTCTCACGTCGAACTCCCGACCCCCCCTACGTCGACCAACAACAAACCCCCTTCCCCCGCCGGGGCCGCCCTCATCCTGAGCAAACCCCCGTCCCCCTGCGCGCCAGGTAACACACACACACACGGTTTTATTTATACCTTTGTGAGGACCGCCATTAACAGAACATGACCCTGAAAGTTCTTGTTCTTTATTAGGATCCCCATTAGCACTAGCATGAGCATTGGCTATTATGAAAGTATTGCTGCATGTGGAGCTTTAGCTAAAGTACTTAAGTGTGTGTGTGCGTGCGTGTGCGTGTGTGTGTGTGAAGGTCCCAGTAATCAGAGTCGTCATCAATTGGAGTACAGAGCCATCATGCAGGAGATGTCACCTACAGCGTTTGGTAAGATTTATATCTACCATCTTATACTTTAAATTGTGGTTGATGCTCCACGGCTAATAATATAGGCGCTTTCACACCGGAGTACTTTTCCCCGTACTTTTCCCTTTTAGTTCCGATAGTTCCTGGGATTTTGCGTTCACACCAAAAAGAGAACTTAGTTCATGAGAACTTTTACCCCCTTTTCAGTCCCTGCTAGAGAGGTGGTACTATCCTGGGGAGAAAAAAGTACCAATTTCTGATTGGCTGGGCGAATTGCAAACCACGCCCCGTAAAACTCTGAAAAGTTTTGTGAAGCCGCCATTGTATTTGCTGGCATTAGCATTATTAGCATTAGCATTAGCCCCGCGCACCAACGGAGAGAGAATAACTTATGGCAACACAAAAAAAAACATTGGAGCGGTGGAGATGAGGAGGTGTCGGCGTTCTGGCGATTTACTCGGAAGGCTTCAGTAGAAGCTGCTGGGAGTCCCAGCAGCTTCTACTGAAGCCAGTCCCCAACTCAGGGGACTTCCGGTCGGGGACTCCGGGTGGCAGTATACGCCGTGAAGTGGTTTGCTGCCTGCCAGTAAACCCAAAGCAGAAGAAGAAGAAGTGATGTCAGCGGCTTCATTTGCCTAATCTTCCCTCAGGGAACTTATTCCAGTGTGAACGCGATCTGCTCTTTAGTTCCATGGGGGAACTAAGTGCTGGGACTAAGTACGGCAAAGTACTTGGTGTGAAAGCGGCTGATGTTATATTTTATTACACAGCTTAGTTGAATGCCTGATTCTTATTGGTCAATTTGGACATATCAGAGGTTATTAATACTCAATAACACACTACTGCTAAGCAAAAATAATGACCGTTGCTACAGAGGATTAAGGGGGTTATTTTTTCATTAATGACCGCCTCGCTGCACATTATCCCTCACTTATATTATATTATACTTTTTGTAAAGTGCAAAGACTTCATTAGTTGGCGCTGCTTTTTAGATGCGACTGACACTCATATTGATAAGGCCTCATAGCTTTAATTATTTAGTAAAGTAATTCATATATTTTCACTACTTATATGTACTTTTGTGAGGAGTTCTTAAATCTTTATTTAAGTGAATTTGGCTTCTGAATTGAAGTGTTTACAGGATTTTTAAATGTAGTTCAACTTTAATGCATTTGTTCCAAATATTTAACCCCTTTTTTACACATTTTTATGAAGGTGTATATATGAAGTATATCCGTGAATATTTGAGTTGAGGGTTAAGAGAGTACATTTAAATCCAGAGTAAGAAATCGATGCTTAGATTTATGGCTATTCTCTGGATGCCGTTTACTTACCAATGTGTGTATAGAGAAAGTTAGAGGTGTTTGCTTTAAAGAAACTTGACCTGAAAACGAAATATACCTGCTGTTAAAACTGGAAACGACATCAAATAGTGAACAACAATGCTGCTGCTAAGTTCCCGCAGTGTGCTGCTGTTTCTACTATCAACAAAGCTGCTGTCACTGTCTCTGTGTTGTTTACAATCTCATCAACAGGAAGCAGCAGTGTGGGTGTGTGTGTGTGTGGGTGTGACTGTGTGTGTGTGTGAAGTTATCAGAGGTGAAGCAGTGTGATAGTTTCAGTATCTGTCTTTTATCAGATGTTTTTCAGCACAGTTTTGAACACTGAAGTATTTTTTTATCAGAGGACAGAACAGTTTTTGATGTCTCTGTCCGTTTCATCTTTGATTTGTGTTCAGGATGTGTTATCAGTGACCACTCTGCTTTACTCAGGACTTTTCTCTCAGCAGGAGTCCAAATAACATCAGAATAATGAACTGTATTCATGCAGCGCTTTTCAAATAAAGTGCTTTACATGGTTAAAACAGGATTCAACCTTTCAGATAAGATCAACAGAAATGATATTGGCTCAAAAACAATTATGATAATAAAACAGACAAGTAAGAAATAAAACCTAAAGAGCTGTTTAAGGTTAATAATATAATAATAATGATAATCTGGCATATGTGTAATGGTTTTTGACATTTAAGTTTTATAAAAAAACAACATTGTATGGTGGGTTGACCACTGGCACTACTTGAATTGTATTTGTATTATTCAATTTGCTGTGTACGATGTTCCTCTTATTGTATTCTGCAAAGTGTGTGTGTGTGTGTGTGTGTGTGTGTGTGTGTGTGTGTGTGTGTGTGTGTGTGTGTGTGTGTGTGTGTGTGTGTGTGTGTGTGTGTGTGTGTGTGTGTGTGTGTGTGTGTGTGTGTGTGTGTGTGTGTGTGTGTGTGTGTGTGTGTGTGTGTGTGTGTGTGTGTGTGTGTGTGTGTGTGTGTGTGTGTGTGTGTGTGTGTGTGTGTGTGTGTGTGTGTGTGTGTGTGTGTGTGTGTGTGTGTGTGTGTGTGTGTGTGTGTGGCCTCTTATGAGCCTATGTGTGTATATTAGCTTGTGTTGTATTTGCAGTAGACGTGTTTTAAGTGGCCGTTAAGACTTTAAAAGTGATAAATGAAAGCAGTGAATTTACAATTTAGCAATAATAATACATTTTATGAATCAAGTGCTTTATCAGATGCTCAAAGACGACTAACAGAGGTAAACAATAAGATAAAAGTCCAATTAAAATCGAGCAATAAAACAATATTTATCACAGGGACACAGCATTAATCCCACATTTAAACCGAGTAGCGTATGCCTCTTCCTGTGTGTGTGTGTGTGCGCGTGTGTGTGTGTAACCATTTCTTTTGTGTGTGTGTGTGTGTGTGTGTCAGGTCTGACGGACTGGGAGGACGATGAGATCCTGGCGTCGGTGCTGGCCGTCTCTCAGCAGGAGTACATGGACAGCATGAAACACCAGAGCACCTCCGCCATGCACCGAGAGCGAGAGCCGTCACCGGACAGCAGCTGATAGCCGGCCGACACACAACCCCCCCCCCACACACACACACACACACAACGATGACCTTTGACCTCCCCACCTTACCCCCCCTCCCCCCTCCACCTCACCTCTGTCCCACAGAAGGAGATCGACCAGGGAAAAAAAATAAAACATCAATCGAAGAAATGCACACTTTGTTATTTTCTGCAGACTTTTCAACTCATCCGTTCATCACTCGTCTCCTCTTTCCTTCCCTCCTTTCCTACCTGTCTCTGCCCCCCCCCCCCCCCCCCCCCCCTCAGATGGAGCTCGGTCTTAATGCTATACTGGGATCATTTGAGATTCACAGACATCATTGGTTGAAATTTTAATATTTTAGTTTTTGGTGTCAACGGTTGTTTGGCTGTTAGCTCAGCGGCTACCATTGCCATTGGTTTCAATGAAGAATGCTCTTCAGAAAAGGAGCTACGTTAGCGTGCGAGCTATCACCCGATGTCTTACTCTGGTCTAAAGCTAGTCTCTGCTAACAAACCGTCTTGCTGTTAGCGTAGCGTTCAGGACTTCACGGTCTGTAGCGTCTCCTCTCTCTCTCTCTCTCTCCTGGTTATATTCCTCCTCTTCCTCCTCAACACCATCTTCATCATCATCATCATCGGACTTATTTAGCTGCATGTTTAATCGACCACGACCAATATCATCATAGAGAAAAAAGCTACAAATAAATTTAAAAAAAGGAGATAAAAAAATGTGAGAATTGTCATACTTATCCTCTTAATGATTGATTATTATTGTTGTTATTATTAATAATATAAGTTTGTTTTATTTTTATTTTATCGTTTGGGATGAAAATACCTTTTTTTCTTGGAATAAAAAGAGGAAAATGTTTCTGAAAAAAATGTCTGGGAGGTTTTATTGACTGCAGTCAAACACTGAGGTTTCTTTCAATTGAAGTTGTCCTTACTGTTAAGGAAATCCCCTTAGCGTTTAGTATACAGAAAATAAATCAATATGTATAATAAAGCATTCAAAGTGCAGAAAGAGCAGACTAAAGTATTTCAATCAGGAGAGACGGTTTGGATGTAAGGATACATATTTATTGCCAGGAATACACAAATGAATGTAATGGAGTTTTGGCGATTAGGCCCGTTGTGCAGGAGTATCATTCGGGAGGGGAGAACCGATCCGATGACCCTGGTGGTGGTGAATGGATAGTTGGGGTCGGTCTGAAAGGGAGTGGCTTAGCTTGATCCTGGTGGTGGTGAATGGATAGTTGGGGTCGGTCTGAAAGGGAGTGGCTTAGCTTGACCCTGGTGGTGGTGAATGGATGGTTGGGTTCGGTCTGAAAGGGAGTGGCTTAGCTTGACCCTGGTGGTGGTGAATGGATGGTTGGGGTCGGTCTGAAAGGGAGTGGCTTAGCTTGACTCTGGTGGTGGTGAATGGATGGTTGGGTTCGGTCTGAAAGGGAGTGGCTTAGCTTGACTCTGGTGGTGGTGAATAGATAGTTGGGTTCGGTCTGAAAGGGAGTGGCTTAGCTTGATCCTGGTGGTGGTGAATGGATGGTTGGGGTCGGTCTGAAAGGGAGTGGCTTAGCTTGACCCTGGTGGTGGTGCATGGATAGTTGGGTTCGGTCTGAAGGGGAGTGGCTTAGCTTGGTCCTGGTGGTGGTGCATGGATAGTTGGGTTCGGTCTGAAGGGGAGTGGCTTAGCTTGATCCTGGTGGTGGTGCATGGATAGTTGGGTTCGGTCTGAAGGGGAGTGGCTTAGCTTGACCCTGGATTCAAAGGGACAGGAGGTGAAAAGGGGTGGAGGAGGGTTGCGTCGAGTCACCTGAAATTACAGCTGACAGAGAGGAGAGCAGATTTAAAAGGGTTAGCAGAGCGCTATGATAGGCTTGTGAGAATAGAGTGATTGGTTAAGCTGGGGAGTGACGCCCCCGATCACTTATTGAGAGGAGAGAGAGTAGTAACATGGACATAGTAAATTAATGAGTAAAGACGGTCTTCCTGGTTGAACTTGCGCTGAGCTTCATTTCAATGTGTTGTGTTTACATTGATTCCTAAACTCTCGAGGTCACACATACTCAATAAATAAAAATAGCAAATGTCTTCACAGCGTTTCTGTTTGTATCGTAAGCAACATAGAAATAATTTTTTTTCAGCATAAATATGTGGCTTTTATTCTGAGGAAAACCTATGAGTAAAAATGTGTCCTCGACATAAAGATATGAGGTTAAAAAATGGTAGTTTATCAGAGTTTGTGCTGCTGTAACACAGGATTTAAGGCACAAGGAGTATTGATTTCCATAGTTACTTTATATACCTAGGCCTACAGTATATTATATATAGTATATATAACATTTTCGTGTTCAAACACTTTGATGACAGATCATGTCAACACTGTTTAAATGAAAGTGCGCCTTATTCTCAGAGGTAAATATTTGACTTTTTACCACACTGCATTCATCTGACAGTTTTGAATGTTTGTGTCTTTATTGGATTAATGCATAGTCACAAAGCTGAAAACAGGGCTGTTTTTCTGAGAAACTCATGTAAAGCTGACTTTTTAGAGATATGAGAGACTCATGATTTGATAGAATATGAATACATTACATTTGAGAATAAACAGTATATGAAGCAGTTGAACACAGCTGCAGCAGTAACATGCAACATACTGCAGCAGTAATACTAATTCGGAAAGGTCATGTCATAGTGAAACATTGATAGGGAACTTTTAACAGCAGCACAATCAAGTTTCACTTTAAGTCTTGCACACTTTTTACTGTAAGTTATGTTTTGAATGCAGGACTTATACTTGTATTCTTTACTGTGGTTTTAGTCGGCCAACATCTTCTAAAGAAAACGACCTTCAGTCAGGTGTTTTGTGACACACTTCTTTTTACGAGGAACAGGAAACACATCTGATACTAATTTATTTATAAAGTTGTTTTAAGTGTGTGTGTGTGTGTGTTTAGGAGAAACCGTCGTCTTGTTTCCCCTCAGCACCAGCGCGCGCCGCTCTTGAATTCTACGAATTCCTAAGGCGGGATTTTAATATTCATTATGTTGAGTCAGAAACCGCAACTTGAATCTGATTGGCGGAACGGTTCAAAACATTGGGCACACGTCTCGGCGCTGATTGGACGGGAAGTGGGGAAGTGGGCGTGAACACAGAGGTATAAATACGGAACACAACATTAACGTATGGCAACAAGGCGGTTAGTGTGCGAATCTTTCAAGAGGTTATTTATCTGTATTTAGAGCAGAAAATAACTTGAATAGTATTTTTTTCTTTGCTGAAATTGGATAAAAAGCGTAACGCGGGAAATACAGACTTCAAGAGGAATTCAACCAACAACATAATGGATTCTATCAGCTTTTACTAACCGAAAACTTCCAGAAAATGTTGGAGAAAAGAGCTACGGAGCTGATTTTAGAGGACGACGTCGGAGGGAAAAACGGTAAGAAAATAAAACAAAAGAAACATGTTTTGTGGGTAATTTAAACAGTCGTTTAGTTGACTAAAAGTACTAATAGCACACTGTAGAAATACTCAATTAAGAATACAAGTACTGCATCGACAATGGTACTTAAGTTAAAGTATTTAAGTTGGATTGGGAACATTTACTTAAAGTATAAGGAGTACAATAAGTCACTCAAAATAATATTTTAAAGCAAAAGCAGCACATTTTCTCATTTAAGAAGCTTGAACTATGACCAAAACTTCAAAATTGCTGCAAATTAATTTCCTGTTTACTCACTCATGGTTTTAGCTACTTAAATCTAATGTTGGATGGTTTAATCTATAGAAATTAATGTTATTTTCAAAGTTTTTCCATAGATTATGTATCCGAATTTGAATTAATTTTTTTCTAGTAAATAAATAAGAGGAAAAAGTACATACTTGGCTTCCAAAATGTAGTAGAGTAAAAGTATAAAGTAGTATACCATTTAAATACAGAAGTAAAGTACCTCAAATATGTACTTGGTTACTTTCCTGCAAAAAAGGTAGGTTCAAAGTGAACCATGTCACTTTTTAAGAGTTGAGTTTGACCTCACATGAACTCTACATACTATCTTGTCTATTAACTCATTTTAATTATACTTTAATTAGCTTTTCCCGATGTTTTATAGACTTTAAAATGGGTCAAAATGAGATAAAATTAAGAATAATAACGATAATAATGTTGACATAACAGTCGTTTCAATAACCGTTTCCATGGTTACTGAGTTTTAAATTAACGGTTATACTTATACGTCTAATTTGTTTGTGTAATTTGAAAATGTTAACTTTAAAAGTATTTTTTGTAACCAAATATGACTCTGTGTGAACTGAAACTGACATTAAGGCTTTACATGTAAAATGTAGTTATTTCAATGATATTTTTTATATATTAATAAACACTCAAACATCAGTTACCACCTTTATATATATATATACAGTCTATGGTTACCACACAACAAACAACTATAATCCACCTCAGTGACAAATATCTAATACTATGGCCAAATATTTGACACATACAAGGCCTTTGACTATGTTAGCATTGCACACATAAATAAACAGCTGTGAGCAAGGACAGAGCATCTGGGTTAAATAAAGTAAATACAAGACATGACCAAGGTGTTATGAGGTGTGGTTAACTATACAAATAGTGTTAATAAATAAATAATGACATTCACAGGATGATTATATAGTCAAAGGTATTACAAATGTCCCTTTTTGTCCTATTAGCTCAAAATATTCAGTTGACTTTGACAGAAACCCAAGAATAACAGGACATTCCTCACATTTTACTGCACAAATATACTTTAATGCAGGACTTTCACTTGTCTTTTCAATGTTGTTTTTGTACTTCTACTTAAGAAAATTATCTGAATACTTTTTCCAGTTTGTCAGGTGTTTTGTTTTGTCTTCAAGCACTCTGACTATGCTCATTACATACTGACATTCCTCACATGAGATAAGCTGTGGCGTATGAAAAGCTTTTCCTGGCACTAAAAAATATTTCCTTCTTCAATATTTCCTTGTACTTTTAGTGTTTGTTCAGTCTCTTTTTACTCTTTATTTCAGGTTGCAAACCATACCTAACTATCTAGTTGATCCACTGACCTTCCTGAGCTTTTAACCAAACATCTCACTTACTTTATTGTCATTATTTGTCCTTTAGAAATAGATAAAAGAGTACAAATTTAGATGAAATACATCCAAACACAATGGTCAGGATGTCTCTGTGTCGTCGCCTGATGTTTTAAAGGCTTACCTGTGTTTGTGTAGTATGATTATGTGACTAACGTTCTGTGTTCTCTGTCTTCAGTGAAGGAACCGTTCTGTAGTCAGTACCGCTGCGGTCCTCTGCTCGGCAGCGGGGGGTTCGGTTCTGTGTTTTCGGGCCAGAGGCTTTCTGATGGACTGCAGGTCAGACTGCACACCTTCAGACACACTTTTATCTCTGCAGATGTCTCTATTCTTTATTTATGTATCTTTCACTTTTGCTTTGGTTTCTTATGTCAATCCTGTGATATCAAAATGTTGTTATTGTTCTAACGTTACTACTTCATTTACTACCACTGCAAATCTAAACTCATGTTCTCCCTTTTTGTCCCTTCAGGTTGCCATTAAACAGATTTCCAGTGACAGGGTTCAGCAGTGGGCCAGACTGGTGAGTGATTAACCTATTCTTTTCTGCAGAATGTCAGAAAACATCAAACAGATCCAGGATCTGTCTATACTTGTCTTGTGTTATCTGACCTAGAACCCAAAACTCAGATATATTCAGTTTACTGAGTTAAAAACGTTCTTTTTTCTTTTTCTAAAACTTAATTTGACTCGGTAATTAAGTTACAGTAAAATCACAATTTAAAAACGTGTGATTTTTTTGGTATTAAAGTGGATTAAGCCATTTGTAAACAATGGACTGTATACCTAAAGGTGTAAACAGACATTGGGTCAGCTCTGCCCTCTGCTGGATTGACAGGTGAACTGCACCTGTAGGTGGGGCAGCCCCCCCTGTGATGTCATGGTTCAGTAAATAATGCTGTCGGATTTTCCCTCAGTGACTGCTAATTTCATATTCTTTAGAACTCGGGACACCCCCCACCACAACACAAAACATCTGTTACACCTGCAGACGATGATTCAGGGCAAAAAAAACATGAGAAAAAAACATGAAGAAACCAAAGTGAAGTTTCTGTGAGAATATATAAAAGAGAATAACCTACATGAGTCATAACTCAGAGAAACTGCTTTTATTATAACGTGTATGTACTTTTTTATGACTCAATTGTTAAAAATATGCTGTCTATTTATTAATCCACACATCCTAATTGTTATAATTGAAGTAAAAGGTGTTTTATTTTCACAATAAATAAACATTGTTATCCAGTGAGGACGGTGTCTCATGTTTATAATTCCCCCCCCCCCACCTCAGCCCGGAGAGGCGGCTCCTGTTCCCATGGAGATCGCTCTGCTGCAGCAGCTGTCGGAGGTCGGAGGTCACGGGGCGGTGGTCCGCATGCTGGACTGGTTCTGTGTGGAGGGGCGGGGCTTCCTGCTGGTGCTGGAGCGCCCCCCCCACTGCCAGGATCTGTTCGACTTCATCACGGAGAGAGGAGCGCTCCCTGAACGCCTCGCACTCAGGTGTGTAATCTTTAACATATCAATGGTTTTATTGTCATAAACACAGAAGCCCATTCCCACCCAAGAAAATCCAAATATACCCTCTAAGTCAAAATGATGGCTTACTATCTCATAATAATGACTAACAATCTCAACATTAGGAATTACTATCACATTATTTGGACTTATTTACCTCATTAATATGACTTACTGTATCACATTGCTTTGACTAACTATCAGATTGTTATGACTTATTTATCTCACAAAAATTACTTATCTCATTAGTATGAGTGACTATCTCATAATGATGACTAACAATCTCAACATTATGAAAGTCATTGTTTGACTTCAGTCGCTAGTGTTTAGGGGAAACAAGATGACGGTTTCCCACACACACACACTCTCTACGTGCACCCATTCACTTAAAACAACTTTATAAATAAATTAGTATCAGTTGTGTTTCCCGTTTCTTGTAAAAAGTGACTTTCTCAAATATGATGAGAAATGTTAAAATGACTTTTTCTTGTCTCCGGCGGCAATGTGCTTCCTTAATGAACCCCCTGCTGTTCTGGTGTGTCAACGTTCTCTCTGTGTGTTAACGTTCTGCGTGTGTTAACGTTCTGTGTGTGTTAACGTTCTGTGTGTGTTAACGTTCTCTGTGTGTGATAACGTTCTCTGTGTGTGTTAACGTTCTCTGTGTGTGATAACGTTCTCTGTGTGTGATAACGTTCTCTGTGTGTGTTAACGTTCTCTCTGTGTTAACGTTCTCTGTGTGTTAACGTTCTGTGTGTGTTAACGTTCTCTGTGTGTGATAACGTTCTCTGTGTGTGATAACGTTCTCTGTGTGTGTTAACGTTCTCTGTGTGTGATAACGTTCTCTGTGTGTGTTAACGTTCTCTGTGTGTGATAACGTTCTCTGTGTGTGTTAACGTTCTCTCTGTGTTAACGTTCTCTGTGTGTGTTAACGTTCTCTGTGTGTGTTAACGTTCTCTCTGTGTGTTAACGTTCTCTCTGTGTGTTAACGTTCTCTCTGTGTTAACGTTCTCTCTATGCTGTGTTCTCCGTCAGGTTCTTCCGTCAGGTGGTGGAGGCGCTGCGGTTCCTTCACGCTCACGGCGTTGTGCACCGAGACATCAAAGACGAGAACATCGTGGTGGACACGAGGACGCTGGAAGTCAAGCTCATCGACTTCGGATCGGGGGCGCTGCTCAAAGAGACGCCGTACAGCGAGTTCGAAGGTACGGACTAATAAAGCTTTTCAAATCAATTTAAGGACAAACACACATCAGAACACACTCTACATTCTTCTGTGTGCTATTTACAAGTTGAACAAAGTGCTTCAACAACACGGCACACAGTAAAGCAGAGAACAAGAAACTCACATCGGGTCAAACGATATGAACAAGCATCTTTCTGACATGTCCTAGAGAGAAGGATTCATGTATCGCTTCACATAATAATAATAATAATAATAACACGTTTACTCTATACAGCCCTTTTCTAAGTGTTCAGAATCACATTCATGTACTGCATAGATTTGACTGTGTTTCTAACTCACCCCCCCCCCCCCCCCTCTTCAGGTACTCGTGTGTACAGCCCCCCCGAGTGGATCCTATCTCAGTCCTACGAGGCGGTCTCTCTCACCGTCTGGTCTCTCGGCGTCCTGCTCTTCGACTCCGTCTGCGGCGACATCCCCTTCGAGCGAGACCAGGAGATCGTCAGGGCAACGCCCGTCTTCACCCGCCGAGTCTCTAAAGGTGAGCACCAACACACACTGATCACACACTGATCACACACTGATCACACACTGAACACACACACTGAACACACACACTGAACACACACACTGAACACACACACTGAACACACACACTGAACACACACACTGAACACACACACTGAACACACACACACTGAACACACACACACTGAACACACACACTGAACACACACACTGAACACACACACTGAACACACACACTGAACACACACACTGAACACACACACACTGAACACACACACTACTGAACACACACACTGCTGAACACACACACTGCTGAACACACACACTGAACACACACACTGAACACACACACTGAACACACACACTGAACACACACACTGAACACACACACTGAACACACACACTGAACACACACACGAACACACACACTGAACACACACTGAACCACACACTGAACACAACACACTGAACACACACACTGAACACACCACACTGAACACACACACTGAACACACACACTGAACACACACACTGAACACACACACTGAACACACACACACTGAACACACACACACTGAACACACACTGCTGAACACACTGAACACACTCTGAACACACTCTGATCACACACACCTGTTTTAATGTCTACCTTGTATATCAACAAAACAATACAAGTACAACATAATAAAGACGGAATGTAAAATGAAATAGTGTTTGTTTAACAATATAGAAATGTAAATAAGTGGACTGTAGGGCGATTTCCAATTTCCCAATGGTAATAATGTTCCTCTGTTCTTTCCCAGAATGCCAGTCTCTGATTCGCTGGTGCCTGTCGTACCGCCCGGAGGATCGTCCCACTCTGGAGGAGATCCTGTCTCACCCCTGGATGGTGGGAGGCGAGGGGGAGGAGGAGGAGGAAGGTGGAGATCTGCAGGAGGATCACAGCTCTCTGCCCAAACAGTCCCTGTGACGGAGCTCCAATGAACTAAACCCGACACACAGAAACCTCACACTGGATTTAAAGGGGCACATGTTCATGTTTTAACCCTTTCACGTAGAAACTCTGATGGAGCTGAGGAAGGACTCAGACAATAAACTCATCAAAGGGTTAAAACATGATCGCGATGATCCGTCTACAGATATTTATTTTCATATATTGTTGCCCTTCATGCTGCACTCGGCTGTACTACTGTTTATTTTTTATATTTTTTATAATTATTTGATTTGGGCAGAATGACTTCCTGTTGAGTTATTTATTGAATTAAGTATTTATTTCATTTTGGAAAATACGGACCTATTTTTTTTGGTTTTGTCACGGCTGCATCAGGAAACAAACGCCCACTGATTTACCCTTGATTTTTTTTTTTTGCACCTTTACTGCCATTCTTATTGGGATTTTGGAGCCTCGCTGCGGAGAAACTGGTGCGCTGTAGGTGCGCCGCGTTTGGAGGTGCTAGTGGAGACTGCGTTTGGCGTTGCAGTTACAACTCTCCGCCAGCAGATGGGGGTGCTGCAGCCCCCTCAGTACCCCCCCCTTCCCGCGTCCATGACAGTTGGTGTACAAGTATAAGAAAAGGGAAGTATTCAGTGACTAAATACTAGTTTAGTGTTTGTGACCTTTAGTTCATCTCAGGCAGATTTCTCTCTTTGTCACTTCAGGTGAAACAGGAAAAGTCTGAGCACTAAAAAACTCCCAAAAATGTTCTAACGCTACTTTTCAAACCAGTCGAACAGGACGGGTCCACCTACAGCTAGCAGATCATTGTTTTCAGTCCATTCAATGTCAGGAAATGCTTCTCGCCCTTAGTTGAGAAGTTGGCTTATTTGATGCAAGAGGCCAACAAGTGATCCATTCTTAGACTAATATACTGTTATTTAAATCAATGTTTCCACCAACATATCATCCCATTCTTTTGTCCTGAGGCAGCTTATAATACTAGGTGGAGTATTTTTATTTAAGTTTTCTCATATTGGTCAAATTTGCTTGGATTCTTTGGGAGTTTAAAGTACTCAGACTTTAAAAAATGTAAACAAATCTTAGTTATTAAGAACTTTTGCATATTTTGTTTGCCTTGCCTGGATATCAGATGTTTTTCAGCATCTTGATTTACTGTTGGAAATAAGATTTCTTTGTTGTTTCCAGACCAGTGCCACTGTAAATACTTGTGTATTTTTGCCTGGATTTATCGTCAAAGTGGCTCGTTGGTCACTTGTTCCTGTTTATTTACATTAAATAAGAGTTTACGGATCAAAAGAAGAGAACAAATACAATGTTTCGAATAAAACAGTTTAGTTCTCACTAAAGCACTTTGTGTCCTGTTGTTTGCCTTTCTGTAGAACTGCATTACCCACAATTCATAGTGATTAACCCTCCTGTTGTCTTCGGGTCAAATCTGACCGATTTACTACTTTCATCAATCAAAACCTTTTAGTTTTACATTCGATTGCATTAAGGCTTTACGATATCCTTCACAGTAGACATTTGAACATGTAAAATTGCTGATCACCACTTTCATTGAATTTTGGATGATTTAGTCAATTTTGTAACACCCATGGTGTTCCAGGTCAAACATGACCGCCATAAAGAAAAGGAATTCGTAACCATCCGGATCAGATATAAAACACACACACACAAAGGCCCAATCCCAAACCACTCCCTCGACCCTACCCCTCCGTGGCGGAGTGAACTCCGTCTGTAGCCACACTCGCAGCTCAACGAGGCTCCCTCCTGTCAGATGGAGGGAGTAAATACAGCGGCAAGCTTTGGGACAAACTCCCCTCTCTCCGGCAGAAACAGGAAATGCCGTAACTGTATGTAACAACGGTTTCAAATCCGCATCTCTTTGACAAAAAATGTAAATTAAGAACTCAAATAAAACTCCAAACATCTTTCATTGTGTTACTTTTTTGTAAACCTGATGTTTATAAGCTTCTTAGTTTTTGCAACAGTCTGTAAATATACACAACTTTATAATAAAATGCACACATTTACCTTTTTCTAGACTAAACACAGGTATGATCCTAAGTTAAAAAAATATGAGGTTATCATGAGGTTGTTAACATCGCAATTTATCAGTGGATGTTTGCTGGAACTACTTGTAAACAGCGTGTTTCCTGACGGACACACACAGCGTGACTCCGGTCAGGTAGAGACCAGTCTCAAGTCAGCACCGATGCAGACTCGCTGTTTGAGGGCTTGATAGCCCACTCTATGGAGCTAATTTCCTGCCATAACTCCACAAACAAACTAAACAGGTTTTACAAATGCCTTATGATTCACTAACAAACACAATGTGGTTTGCAAATACAAAACACCATCTACAAACTAATGAATTTAGTTTTGCAAAGAAAAAACGTATCTATCAAACAAACACATAACATTTTTCTAATAAATCATGTTTCAGAGACAAATTCAGCTTAGGTTTTACAAGTACACAACTTTTTTTTACAAGTGCACAAATTTGTTTTACAACTACAACACTTTGTTTTACAACTACAAAACTTTTTTTTACAAGTACAAAACTTTTTCTTCTCACGGCGGAATATTACTGCCAAAAGTCACGTGACTGGAATATTACTGCCAAAAGTCACGTGACTGAGTCACGTGACTTTTGGCAGTAATATTCCGTCGTGGTTGTGCTCATACACACTCACACATGGTCACTCACACATGCTCCACGGCAGCAGGGGGCACTACTGAGTCCATTGGGAAGGCGGGAGGTTGAGCAGAGCATGGAACAGCCCTTGCCAGCCTGATCATGACAGCGGTGTTTCTAGCGATCCAGCATCTGAATTTAGCGATCACAACGAAAACAGCCAAGACACATATTGAGCCCAGAAAATGAATGTTCTTAGGGCTGTAAATATAATAAGCCTTTGTCTAAAATAGACAACATTGTAACTAAGGAGATTTAAACTATACAGCGATTCTGCACTCGGTCAATCAGCTGCTCTTCATTTTCTTTCCTGCTATATTCAATGAGTGATACAAATATTTTTTACCATACGTTCTGAATAAAACTGATACTGTTGGACTCGGTACTAGTTGACTGCTACCAGAAATAAAAGGAAGTACTTTACTGTGTACTTTGTGAGTAATCCTCTGTCAGAGTCCCCTCCATAGTACATAATGCATGTTTTTTGCTATCTTTGATGAATGATAAAAGGGTCATTCCAGAATTGGAGGACAATTTAGACACCAACATTTTTGAAAAATTAACCTTTCATTTGATTATTTTTTGTTATGTATTTAGGAAAAACAGATAATAAACCATAAAAAAAAGTGATTTGCCCAGCTAAGGCATCAAATGTATATTTTCCAATGAAGAATTAACCCTGTTACTCTAATTATAGTAACAGGGTTGCAAGTAACAGGGTTGAAAATCAATGCTAATTTTAGCTTTTACCTCAGGAATTAATGCTAGCTGCACAATGTAATGCTATTGTCAAGGAATGGACACACTTTATATTTATATTTATATATATTTAACAAAAGAAAGATACATTTGAAATTAATTTGTTTTTGTCTCATAATTTGAGTAACAGGGTTGCGTTTGTATGAGTGCCACACTCCTTCAAGAGTGACAAGATTGGAAATATATTACAAATAAAAGAGAGGACTTAGTTGTGGTCTACCCATGGTAGTAGCACATGGCTTGCTGATGTCCTTTCCACTGTGTCATGCGACAAACAGTTTTTTCACTTCCTCTGCCAAGCTAAAAAGGTTTCGGTAACAGTGTTGCGCGCATGTTGAGGGACACACCTTCTGTGCAAAATTACTGTTATTTAAAATGTGTTTATGATTTAACAAATTGATTTTACCATTACAAGACACATATATCAATAGAATAATACCAAAAAAGTAAATAAAAACCCTATTTTAAATGTTATAGTTGACATGCAAGTTGGTCACCAAGAAGCTGGGACAAGAGAAAAGGGCAATTTTAGGGGGTGTTCGAGAGCTATTTGATATTTTAAATAATATTTTGAAACCACTTTTTCTACAACTTTATATGCATCTTGTCTCAAGACAAGTATATTTAACACAAGTGCATGTCTTAGCTTTTTGGGCATGGATTATTAGATTTTTTATATGGGGGACATGAAATGTCCTCCAATTCTGGAATGACCCAAAAATAAAATGTTACCATTAGTTCTTAATGAAATTGATACGGTTTGACTTTGTATTAGTAAGCCTACTACTAACAATACATTAGCCGCGTTCACACCAAGTACTTTCCTGTACTTAGTTCCGGCACTAAGAGCCCTGGCGCTTTTAACCCCAGGGTACTTAGTACAGATCGCGTTCACACCGGAGTACTTTTCCCTGAGGGAAGATTACAAGTACAGTAGGTGGCGGTAAGCACCTTAAAGTTGTTTGCAACCCGCTACAAAACAAGAGAAGAAGAAAAACTGATACAGGATCTGTTTAATCGCCATGTCGGTTTTCTTTATTGCACTCTCAAGACATAACATTAAATAGAAATATTTTAAATGTAACTAAAGTGTCAGTTGTACATGTCAGTAAACATTGTCAATATAAAATAAAGTGTCAGTTGTACTATATAATAACAGTAATAACAATATAAAATAAACTCCCAGCTGTAGGGAGTCTCAGCAGCAAACCCACCTTTATTATATATCTTCCTGAGACCCACTGCATCCGTCTGCCATAAACACTATGCAAACATACATGTTAGTTTTGGCCCATAGTGGACTCCATGTTGTGTTGTGTGAAATGGGGGGGAATTAAAAGTTTAGGTCAAATAATATTTAAAATGATATAAATTATCATATTTGTGTATGTGCCCCTGCCATTCCCCCACAAGGTTGCAACATTGATGATAAATAAATGACAAATAAAGCTTTGCCAGTTTATAACCGATGAAACATGATGGTATCAGAATAATCACTTACATGTGATGTATAGGATGCTACACAGGTCACTAAAGATAAAGTGTCAGGAGAAATAAGCTTAATCGCCATGTCGGTTTTCTTTATTGCACTCTCAAGACATAACATTAAATAGAACAATTTTAAATGTAAATAAAGTGTCAGTTGTACATGTCAGTAAACATTATATATAAAATAAAGTCATAACAGTAATAACAATATAAAATAAACTGTCCCAGGTGTAGGGATATTCTCAGCAGCATACACACCTTAGTGCAACGTTGTGTGTCGTGTGTCAGTATTTACAAAAACTATACCAAATAAACTGTTATTAAATGCAGTTTGTCGCTCATCCTGCCGCTGCGCCGACGCTTCCTCATGGCGCAGCGCCCACACTTCATCCTGGTGCTGCTGGCGCTCCATCTGCTGCTTGAACACTTCTGCCTGGCGCTCCATCGAGGTGAGCATCTTGTCCTCCGTTTCCTGGGCCTTGGTGAACAGCACCATCTGATCTCCACGCAGCGACTCATTCACCACGGCACGCCGGTCCTCCAACGCCTGGGCGGTGTCAAAGAAATTCGCATCCCGTGTCCGCTTTCCTAAGAGGGGAAAATAAGCAATATACAATATACAAGTTTAGTCGCCATGTAGTTTTACAACATACTAGGAATGTGTTTTTTGTATTTTCACAAATAGAATTAAGGTTTCACAAATCTGAAACTGTGTTATAAAGAATGTTTAGACCCTCTGGGATAATCCAGTCCAAATAAATCGGCTATGCAGCGATTTAAGAGGTTCAAACACGGAGGATTGTTCCTTTTTGAAGAGTGCTTCATGTATGCTTGAACTTTGTTTAATGTTGTTGAGGCAAGTTAAACATAAAATATGATGAATATTATGAAATAAACATGATTGTGAACATCAGTTCGATGCGCAACGTTCTTTCAAGACAAAGTTACAGTGTGTGTGTACTGTGTGCTCGGGGCCGGTGTTAGCCTATTATGGCTAGCATGGCTAGCTTGATCTACTGAGCAAATAAAAGTACATCTGAGACCATTATTGTGCAGATTAAAACCCCAGTGCATGTAGTTGATTTTACCTTCGTCGTGGTCGTCATCGTTGGCCACTGAATCCGCCGTTTGTAGTCCTGCCCGAGTTTCTTTATTTTTAGCCGGTGTGTGCCGTGGGGCTGTGCACATTCCCAGGTCGAGTGAAAGCTACTGAACTGGCTTCAGTGCATTCCCTGGGTCGCGTCCTCTGCGTAGATCTCCAGAAGCGCCGACACCTCCTCATCATTTCTTGATGCTTGCCATAACTGCTTTCAAAAACAAACACAACGCACGGAGCGTTGTGTTTTTGTAGCGAGGAAAAACAATGGCGTCTTCACACAACATTTTCAGAGTTGTACGGGCGTGGTTTGCAATTCGCCCAGCCAATCAGCACTGGGGCACTTTTGGAGCTCTTTTCACCCACAGAAAAGTACGCTCTCTGAGCTGGCTCTAAAAATGGGGGTAAAAGTACCCGAGATTAAGTACGATTTTTGGTGTGAACGCGACATAAGGGGTACTCACGGAACTAAAACGCGAAAAGTACGGTGAAAGTACTCCGGTGTGAACGCGGCTATTGAAGTACTTTTACTGTGTCTTTTTTTGAGAAATACTCTGTCAAAGTCCCCTCCTGAGAACAAAATCAAGCCACTTCTTCTAAGTTTGATGAGGGAAAAAAATATTTTTTGGGTGATTTAATGGATGATGTAACATTAATGACAGACATAATATGAGGTCCTTGGCACTCTAGAGGGGTCATTTTGTGATCATGGGGCATCACCCTTACAGCATCAGGACAATATCATATGGAGTCAGATACTGGAAGTGGGCTGGAGGCGTTAACTGGGACTGATGGAAGGATGAGGCTGATGAGACTGAAGAATCTGCGAGGAACGAACTAGCGGCAGAGGAATAATTATATATTAAAAGACAGCAGCATCATAAGAGGGCAACCATGTGACAGAGTGTGTTACTTTGCTGAAGGATATTTGTGACCAGCTATCCATTCCAGGCCAGACTCTAAAGACTTTCCAAGGTGTGAAAATGCTGCTGCCGGAGTACTGACTGGAAGTATTGCTGATATCATGTCTACCATCCTCTTAAAATACTCTGTCCAACAATATCAGTCTCAGGAAGAAATGTTTTTTAACGCTTATTAAAAGAAAAACATGCATTCTTGTACTCAGGAGGGGACATTGACAGAGGATTACTGGAAAAGTACACAATAAGTACTTCATAGTACTTGTGGGGGTAGTTTCAGTAGTACTGAGTCCAACAGGATCAATCTCACGAAGAACTAATGGCAACAAAAAAGAATTCCCTCATCAAACTTAGCAGAAGTGGCTTGATTTTGTTCACAGGAGGGGACTTTGACAGAGTATTTCTCAAAAAATACACAGTAAAAGTACTTCAATGTATTGTTAGTAGTAGGCTTACTAATACAAAGTCAAACCGTATCAATTTCATTAAGAACTAATGGTAACATTTTATTTTTATCATTCATCAAAGATAGCAAAAAACATGCATTATGTACTATGGAGGGGACTCTGACAGAGGATTACTCACAAAGTACACAGTAAAGTACTTCCTTTTATTTCTGGTTGCAGTCAACTAGTACCAAGTCCAACAGTGTCAGTTTTATTAAGAACTTGTGGTAAAAAATATTTGTATCACTCATTGAATATAGCAGGAATAAAAATGTGTTTGTTTGAGAGATACGTTTTTTCTTTGCAAAACTAAATTCATTAGTTTGTAGATGGTGTTTTGTATTTGCAAACCACATTGTGTTTGTTAGTGAATCATAAGGCATTTGTAAAACCTGTTTAGTTTGTTTGTGGAGTTATGGCAGGAAATTAGCTCCATACCACTCCCCCTCCACACCTCTCCACACTCGTTGGTTTGGAACAGCACTTAATGTGGCGGACCCTCCGCGCGAACGCGCAAACGGAGGGGTAGTGTGTAGGGGTAGGGTGTAGGGGGCGGTTTGGGATTGGGCCAAACTCACACACTCTAGATGTGTTCCCCTCCCCTTGTGTGCCCATCCCCCCATGTGAATCACACCTGGCAAACACCTGACACACACACACACACACACAAACTGTTCCCCTCCCCTTATGTGCCCAATCCCCCCATGTGAATCACACCTGGCACTCTCTCACACACACACACACACAGAACAATTTGACACATTTCCCGCTCTTATGTGCCCATCCCCCCACATGGATCACACCTGGCACACGCAATACTTGTTCAGTGTCTGTTCTTTGTATATTTACTGCAGTTCTTCATGTATACCAGTAGTCTGATACAGTTTGTTTGAAAGGGTGTTAAATGAAATTTGGTGGTGATTAATGATTTTTGTGTTAATGTAATAGCAGTTAAAACAGGACCGGTCAAATTTGACGGCGAACACCAAAGTAAGGGGGGGAAACGAAGACTGAAGCGAGCGATAGAATTACTAACAAAGAATTTCTAACAAAGCACTTATATACTAATAAAGGACTGGCTTATCTAAAGCCAGTTGAGTAGCACTTGAAATGCAATGTAATGTAATGTAATCTGAATATTTTTCATGCAATCTTGAAAATGACCAGCAGGTGGCGCTGAAGATGACCAACATCTGACAGGTGAGGTGTTTCCCCAGCAGCCAATAGGATTACTCTGTGTTCAACCTGCAGGAGAACAAGGATGTGATTGTTTTCAGCAGGATCAGAGAGGTCTCACTCTGACTGTTTAATCGGAGCTCAGATCAAAACCTATTTTCATAAATACTTTTCTTTAAGAGTTTTTGAAAACATTTTATTTACAGAAATAAAATAAATAAAACACCTCTTTTCTCCTGGTACGAAAATATACATTTTTTGTTGGATTAATGTATTTTTTGAATTAGTTAGATGTATTATTTAAGTGATAAGCAAGATATTACGATTATATTATATCATAGCATGGTATATCATATAATTGAATGTTATAATATACATTTTTACTATTATATGATGTTATATGGGTTTTGTTTTTATGCATTGCTTTTATTTTATTATCATTTTTTTCAATGGCTGCTTCTATTATTAATTTTAATTTCCCTTACTGTGTTGTGTTTACGTATTCACCATTATACACCAAAATAAACGTATTGTATATATAAAATGAAAAAATGATAGTGAAAACCTACTGTTAACCAGCTTTTGATTCACTACTGTAACCAGGAAGCGACTCGTTGTATTCCCTCAGAGTGACATATCCTGTTTTCAGTTCTCACCTCTGTAGCTGTAGTTCATTCAGTTCCTCTGTAGTTCCTTCACTTCCTGAACACCTCAGCTCCTCCACGGAGAGTGTTTTCATCCCTTCCTCTGCGGACTTCTCTAACCTCATCTCCGGCTTAAAAACCCCTCTGACACCCCGGATCCCTCCCGCTTTAACCCCCGAAACCACAACCCGGAGGTCGGTGCTCCGGACCCGGGAGATAAGAACCGTTGACCGGGAAAGAGGAGTTAGCTGCGGGGCTAGCAGAGCGTTAGCATCACGGAGAAAGCTCCGGACCAGCGGGCAGAGGAGCACATTATGGCCGCAGGAAGCGTCTCTCAGACCGGGGAGGAGAAAGGAGTGAGCCGGGGTCAGAGTGACGGTGAGTCCTGGGGAAATGAGAACCGGACGGTGGGCTATATGTATACGGCCTGTAAGGCTGTCAAACTGGGGTTATTGGGTGGCTGAATGATAGCTGGACTGGTGTGTTAAAGTAGTTATTATTTAATTAAAACAATGTGTTTTAAATAACAAACAGTTGTGTTTCTCTGTAGCTCTAAGCTCATTAGTAGCTAGCTGAACAAACCCAATTAGATGCTTTTAATGAAGGTTTTTATTAATTAAAGTAAAAAGTGATATACCATCTTATGACGTGGAAACATAATCATAGTTTGATTGTCAACAATAATGTCTTAGTTTTAATCTATGTGAATTGGCATGCTACCTGAGCTGGAGGCTAGGCTAACTCCACTGTTTACTGGTGTTTTTAATAGTTTGTGTGAAGCTAACTGAGGCATAAAGTAAAGTTTTGTTGCTGATGCTAATGCTAACACACTGATAATAGACCTATTAAAGGTGAATTAACAAGCAGGCAGTGTGCAACATTAACTCTTTGGTCTGGTGAGTGATGCCACTTCTAGCTTTATATAGTCAGATATAGTGTTTCCATATGTTAACTAAATGTTGTTCATTCTGTGTCAGTAAGTGTGAAAGGACTAGCAGATGGTGACGTGGAGGTTGGGTTAAATATTCAAAGGCTTTATTGTCAACAGAGGTGGGCCAAGTACTCATATCTTGCACTTGAGTAAAAGTACCAGAGTGTAGGAAAGAAAAAGTCCTGCATTCAAAATGTTACTCGAGTAAAAGTAGAAAAGTATCAGCATCAAAATATAGTTAAAGTAAAAGTAGTCGTGCAGATTGGTCCATTTCAGAATAATATATGATATGTTTTATAATGATTGATGATTAAAGTGTTGATTACATTTCACATCGTACATCCAGATCTGTAAAGTGACTAGTAATACATGTAGTTGAGTAGAAGTACCTCAGAATTGTAGTGAAGTAGAAGTACAAAGTAGCACACACACACTCATCCAGGTAACCTACAACCATTATTTACACACACACACACACACTCACACACACACACACTCACACTCACACACACACTCCTGCGGGTAACATACACCCATTATTTCAACACGCACAGACGCCCTCTTTTTTGTTCGGGCAGTTGTTCTGAATGTGTCTTCAGGTTTGTTGACATTCATTCTTTTGTGTTGTTAAGAAGCTTTGTTGCTAAATAGAGAAGACTCAGAATTATATACAGCAGTACACATATCTTTGGCACTCAAAACTTTTACTTAAGTAGAAATGTTGCAAGTAAAAGTAGTCATTGTGCAGTACAATATTCCTGGTCAGCTTTAAATTAAATATATCTTATAATAACATAACCTTTTAACGTATATTATATACATTTATTAAAACAAGGGAGATCACAGATATCACGTTTTAATCATGGGTTTAATTGAAAAGTCTATAAAAGCTTGCCATATCAAATTTTAAAGTATTCTCTTTGACCTTAACTAATCACTTCATTCAGCAGAGTTAAGCAGGGTTCCTACGGTCATTCAAAACCTGGAAAAGTCATGGAAATTCAAAATGCAAATGCCAGGCCCTGGAAAAGTTATGGAAAACAATATTTTTCCCAAAGTTTTGGAAAAGTCATGGAAATGTAACTAAAGTTGCAGCAAATATAATTTATATTTTATCTTATCGCCGAAATAGTAATACTATAATGATAATAAATACTGTATCGTATAGTAATGAAACGTAAAATGGCATTTAACTGTCGAGGTGTTTTGCTGGTGAGAGATTTTAGTTGCTTTAGCGTGTAGAAGCTAGAAAGCCTATTAGATTTGTTTTAGATAGGCACAACATGTTTCATATGCAGACCTTATTTTCCTGTTCCATGTTAAAATAAACCATTTTCAGTGGTACCGCTGAGAAAGAGTAATGTTTTTGGTCATGGAAAATTAGGTAAAGGTCATGGAGAAGTCATGGAAAAGTCATTGAAAATCATTGGTGAAAAAGTGTATGCACCCTGATTAAGTGACTTGTGTTTTTCCAGTTATCAGTCTTTGTGCCGAGATTGAAATATTAGATTGGTTGTTTGACAGCTTTACAGTAACTACTTGAACTCAACACACGGCCATAACTGGGTCTGGGTTGTCTTGTTTATATTTCACCTTTTATTCCAATAATGACCAATCCTCAGGGAGTAGAGACACTTGTGTTTTAATATTTTGAACTGCCTGATTTTTGAGGAGTTTCTCAGAAATACAGCCCTGTTTTCGGCTCTTTGACAATGATTTTCCAGCTGATCCAAGAGGCCTTTTAAAGACTTTACGTGGAGTAAAAAGGAGGAGAATCGTCATAGTTAAAAAAGGACCTCTGACATGTATTGGGTAGAAATATATAAAATGGAATTAGTAAAGTAAATGTGTACTTTAGTCAAGTAGTCAGCAAAGCATGTCAGATTTAAATAATATCTGCAGGCACGAATACGTAAACATACATTTCTAAGAAGTTTACTTTGAATAAATGAACTAAGTTAATACTAGTTGCATGAATAAACAGGACAATCTGGTGTTAGATTACAAACTCTTCCCTGAAAATGATGAGGAAAAAACACCTTTTATATATTAATGACAAGCTGGAACAAAATGTCCTCTTTGACTCAACCAGTACATATTCAGTTTGAAAGCAGTTAGATTAAACGCTCAGTGTTTAGAAGATGGAACAAGGAAGGAAGGACACAATCACTATAAAGTAGAAATGTAGAAACAGTTATATACGGCTAAATAAAAACAATATCGATTTAAAGATGCCGTCAGTTTTTGCTGTCATTTAATATATTCTTGATGGAAAAGAGGCGGCTTCGTTGTCTGTTTTTATTACACTATAGTTCTTCAAATCTTTATTCTTCCCCTTATTATTATTATTATTATTATTATTATTATTATTATTTCACCAATACTTTGGCTCTCCATAACTTCAGTATACTTTCAGCTACAGAAACCATTCAAATATCAAACTATTCAGCCTGTTCAGCAATCGATGGGAAACTTTCAACTTTTTCAAAATATTTCATACTTTTTGAAATATTCAGCTTTTTAAACTCTTTTTTCTCCGTCATCAGCTGATATACACCTGAACATCAGCAGGAGAGGACTCTTTAAAGTAGAGACACTACATACTGATATACACCTGAACATCAGCAGGAGAGGACTCTTTAAAGTAGAGACACTACATACTGATATACACCTGAACATCAGCAGGAGAGCACTCTTTAAAGTAGAGACACTACATACTGATATACACCTGAACATCAGCAGAAGAGGACTCTTTAAAGTAGAGACACTACATACTGATATACACCTGAACATCAGCAGGAGAGGACTCTTTAAAGTAGAGACACTACACACTGATATACACCTGAACATCAGCAGGAGAGGACTCTTTAAAGTAGAGACACTACATACTGATATACACCTGAACATCAGCAGGAGAGGACTGTTTAAAGTAGAGACACTACATACTGATATACACCTGAACATCAGCAGGAGAGGACTCTTTAAAGTAGAGACACTACATACTGATATACACCTGAACATCAGCAGGAGAGGACTCTTTAAAGTAGAGACACTACATACTGATATACACCTGAACATCAGCAGGAGAGGACTCTTTAAAGTAGAGACACTACATACTGATATACACCTGAACATCAGCAGGAGAGGACTCTTTAAAGTAGAGACACTTCATACTGATATACACCTGAACATCAGCAGGAGAGGACTCTTTAAAGTAGAGACACTACATACTGATATACACCTGAACATCAGCACCAAGTATTCAACTAAGAAAACCGATCATGTTGTCAGATGGTGGTTTTAATCTGTGTTTTCTCTGTGTTTCTCCTGCAGTGAACAGGAAGTTGAAGTACATCAGTCTAGCGGTGTTGGTGGTCCAGAATGCGTCGCTCATCCTCAGTATCCGATACGTACGAACTCTGCCCGGCGACCGATTCTTCACCACGTCGGCGGTGGTGATGGCCGAGGTGTTGAAGGTGATCACATGTCTGCTTATCATCCTGCTGCAGAAGAGATGTGAGTTTCAAGTTTCAAGGCTTTCATTGTCATGTGCATAGCTACAGTGTAGATATGACAATGACAATCGTAGGTCACAGGCTCCTCCAACAGTGCAACACAATGAACTGATAAAAAGTGCATGATTCCTTTTTTAATCTCAGCTAAAAGCTCAAGTCTTTGCACTGGCTTTTAATATTAGTTGAGCATAACATTTTTACATGTGTATGTGTTTTTATATGTTTCTAGTTATTGTGCTTTTTTATCATGTTTTTAATTATTGTTTTATTATTGTACTCCCATTGTGTTATTTCATATTGTATGTATTCCCTGTACAGCACTTTGGTCCACTGAGGTTGTTTTAAATGTGCCATATAAATAAATAAAGATTGAGATGATTCAACTATAAAGGGGCGGGTCTTCAAAGTGTCCTGTTTAGCATTGTCAGGACGGGAGGATTACGTGAGGCGCTCTCTATTGGGACAAACGGGATATTCAAAACACCTGATTATAACCCGAGCATGACCTGTGAAGAAGTCAACAGTCAATGTCAATGGTGGAATTTAACTAAGCACATTTACTTAAAGGTGGGGTAGGTAAGTTTGGAGAAACCGGCTCGAGATCGCTAGAATTTGAAAATACACAACCGGAGAAAATCTGCCACTTCCTTACAGAGCCCCTCCTCCAACACACACGAACGCGCACATGACCAATGAGGGCACGAGATAAGTTTGTGCACAGATGGAAGGCTGACAGGCAGGTAGGCCATCCAGTTATTTTAGCCAGGCCGGCTCAGATGATTGGTCGTGCTTTTTACAGTACTACAGCTTCCACAGATGACATTTTTTAATGGATTTTTTGTCAAAGCACTTAAGATATTCATTGCTATCGGGATGTTAAGAGCATTCCATGTAATATAACAAAAAGTGTTTCTCAAACTTACCTACCCTACCTTTAATCCTAGATCCTTTATTTGCCCCACAGCGAGGACATTAACATGTTTACAGCAAAGGGTAGAGTGCAGATAAAGACAAGATAACAAGAGTTATACTAACATAATAAATAAAGAAGCAAGCACGTGTTCATAAAGTCAAAATAAGTACACATCCAAAGTAGAAATTACAAGTAGCTGCATTATAACAGTAACTTATAAAACGGACAAGTCAAATCAAGCAATCTGATTGGTTCTTAGCCGTGATATAATGTATCAGTATCCCTCCGCGTCTGAGAAACAGCTACAACTGTTACATTACGTCCGTTACGAAACTAACTAACTAACTAACAAAAGCTTAAGATGGAAACATGTAAGGTTAACTTCGACCTCCGGGGGGGTCTTACTATGGAGGAGTGGATTGAGCAGTGCCTATTTCCAGAAAGCCCCTAAACGACCACATGCAGAGCTACGTGAAGAGCAGGTAGACCAACTGGAAAGGTATCACCATTCAAAAGCTTTCTGATGCGGGTCTTGAAACAAAGCAGAGAAATGATGACCGTTAGTGGCCACAGGTGCGAAAGCTCTCTCCAGAGCTACTGGAAGCCGAATCTCGGGGACCGGAGAAAGTGGAGCAATATTCTCTCCACGCCAAGCAACAGCCTAGAACAACCTCAGCCGATACAAGTGACCACGTAAGCCATGCTACTGATGCTGGACAGTTTTTCAGTGGGTGCACAATAAACGGCAACATACACATTAATGTAAATAAATAGCCAAATAATGGATCAACGCTCTCTGTCTAATATGTTCGCTAGCTGTTAGTGTTGTTGCATAGCAACCACCTCGCACTATGTTTCGTGCAGAAGGCAACAGAGGGACTATTTTATTTTGAACATCATTATTTACTAATAAAAACTATTTAAATTCCAGTGTGTATTTTTCTTTCATATTGCCACACTTGGTAACCGTTTTATAAAAGCAATAGCTCACTTCAATAGCGTCGGGCCGAACCACGCCCCTTAGCTGTGATATAATGAGCATATACCACAGCCTGTCGTGAGATATTGCTTAAATATACAAGTAAGGAAATAGCTGCCGGTAACAACAGTAGTAAAAGAAAAAAGTATTGACTATATTACTCAAATACAGTTTTGTCATACTTGTATTTCTATTTTAAGCTACTATTTTTATATACTTTAGGTTTTTTTACTGTACTTTTTACTCCACTTAAAGTAACAACAACAATGTACTGATATGATGCAGTACTCTCGTACTACTATACCGAGTATTTCAATAAGTATTACATAAAGTAAAAGCACTTGGTGACTCTCAGACAGTTTTGAAAAGTACATTTATTCAAGTACTATCTTGTCATACTTTTATTGAGTATTTCCATTTTCTGCCCCTTAATACTTCGACTCTACATTTTGGGGCAAAATATTCAACTTTTTACACTTCTACATTTACTTTACACTCATAGTTACTAGCTACTTTTAAAAAGGACTTGCTGATATGATATGATGCAGTACTCTACTTCTAATATACCCAGTATTTGTTAAGTATTGCGTAAAGTAAACGCACTCTGTGACAGCGGTGACATTTACTTACTTCACTGAACCAAATAATAGCTCATTTCCATCTACAAATTGAACTAAGAACATTTACTTAGTACTGATCTAAATCTAAAATTGGCTAAAGCCTTTTTTTATGTGACTAGGGGCAGTGCGTTGCGAGGAAAAGTTGAATTATTATCCGGTTTCTATGAATAATGCCACCTTTTGCATGTGATTTGACAATTAAACAGTTTAATTTGGACTTGTTTCTGCAGGTTTAGCATCCTCAAATACAGGACCACACTTTTATGAGTTCACCACGAACCCTCAGGTGTACTACATTAGAACAAACATTAACCACCTGAGTCTCTCTCTCTCTCTCTCTCTCTCTCTCTCTCTCTCTCTCTCCGTGTCGCTCACCTCTCTATGCTCAACTCTGTCTCTCTCCTCTGCTCTATCTGGTCTATAATCGCTATCTCTCTAATTCATCATCTCTACGAGTCTATCTCACTCGACTCATCTCTGCTCTATCTCTGCTATCTCTCTCTCATCTCTCTCTCTCCTCTCCATTCTAGCTCTCTATCTCTCTCTCTCTCTCTCTCTCTCTCTCTCTCTCTCTCTCTCTCTCTCTCTCTCTCTCTCTCTCTCTCTCTCTCTAGGTAATGTGAAGCAGACGGCTCTCTTCCTGGTCGACTCCCTGGTGTTTCAGTACAAAGACACTCTGAAGTTGGCCGTCCCCTCGCTCATCTACACGCTGCAGAACAACTTGCAGTACATCGCCATCTCCAACCTGCCCGCCGCCACCTTCCAGGTCTCACTTCAGATCCCTTATCATCATCTTCTTATCACTTAACATACATGGAGATGCTTACATAACTGCATAGAGGGCAAAAGTACACACATCCTGTACTCAAGTAGAAGTACAGATACTCGTGTTTAAAAATACTCTGGTGAAAGTAGAAGTACTGACTAAACTTCTTTACTCAAGTAAAAGTAAAGAGGCTTTGAAATGTACTTCAGTAAAAAGTACCCATAACTAGCAGCTGTTTTAAAGAGTACCTGACCTCCCTTTATATTAATAGAACAATAATGTCATTGTTAGCTAATGAATGTTTCCATGCTGAACAACGGCAACATGACAACGTTTTCATTGGTCCCTCTTCTTTAGAGAAGACCAGGAAATGATGGATACACGGATCGTGTTCAAATCAATAGGCACGCAATGACTCTAAATAATAATGATCACGCCACCAAACACACATTCAAACTAAAGGAACCAGCCGGTTTGGAAAATGTAAGAAGTAGAAAGTACAGGTATTTGGGTTCAACATGTAAGAAGTAGAAAGTACAGGTATTTGGGTTCAAAATGTAAGAAGTAGAAAGTACAGGTATTTGGGTTCAACATGTAAGAAGTAGAAAGTACAGGTATTTGTGTTCAACATGTAAGAAGTAGAAAGTACAGGTATTTGTGTTCAACATGTAAGAAGTAGAAAGTACAGGTATTTGTGTTCAACATGTAAGAAGTAGAAAGTACAGGTATTTGGGTTCAAAATGTGAGAAGTAGAAAGTACAGGTATTTGTGTTCAACATGTAAGAAGTAGAAAGTACAGGTATTTGTGTTCAACATGTAAGAAGTAGAAAGTACAGGTATTTTGTGTTCAACATGTAAGAAGTAGAAAGTACAGGTATTTGTGTTCAACATGTAAGAAGTAGAAAGTACAGGTATTTGGGTTCAACATGTAAGAAGTAGAAAGTACAGGTATTTGTGTTCAACATGTAAGAAGTAGAAAGTACAGGTATTTGTGTTCAACATGTAAGAAGTAGAAAGTACAGGTATTTGGGTTCAAAATGTGAGAAGTAGAAAGTACAGGTATTTGTGTTCAAAATGTAAGAAGTAGAAAGTACAGGTATTTGTGTTCAAAATGTGAGAAGTAGAAAGTACAGGTATTTGTGTTCAAAATGTAAGAAAGAAAGTAAAAAGTGGTCAGAAAAATAAGTAGTGGAGTAAAGTACTGATACCAGAAAAATGTACTTAAGTACAGTAACGAAGTATTTGTACTCCACTACTTCCCACCTCTGGATACAAACACCTGTTGTACATCAGGGTTAATCATTCATGCCCTCCTTGGACACCAAACCGAATCCCCAGACAACACATGTTCTTGTGTTACTGTTACCCGAACCCGTCTTTGGCCTTTAAATAACTTTTCTTTTCAATTCCCATGCTGCATAACTCCGGCTCACTACACTGGTTTGAGTGTTAACACGAGTCTCTCTCTCCAGGTGACGTACCAGCTGAAGATCCTCACCACGGCTCTGTTCAGCGTCATGATGCTCAGGAAGTCTCTCTCCAGAGTTCAGTGGGTCTCTCTGCTGCTGCTGTTCGCCGGGGTCGCCGTCGTTCAGGTACATCCCTCACCTGTAGACACCTGATTCATCTCTAATGTTCACCACTTCAGTTTTACTTAGAGGTGTAAGGGCAGATAACCATCTATTGTCTATAAGAAAATATTAGAGGCACAATGTTGAAGGAGCCTGAGAGTTGAAGATTTGTATTGCCAAAACTACGCTGAAGCCACTTAACCAATACAAAAACACCCACGGACCACCTAACTCCCCAAATATCCTAAAACAAAAGGCCTGCTTACCACTCCAACAGTTTATAACAAATGACAGCTTAACCTTCTCTACATCACCTCGTTCACACATTAAATCAACAATACAAATACAGATTATATAAGCATTTAGTTCAAATGTGATTTTAAATGCTCACAGGTTTTACACCTCTTATGAAATGTAGACTACATTTATTACAGAGTTTATGTCCGAGCCAACAGACTCACAGATCGTTGGCTACTCAGAGAAATGCAAAATACACCGCATGTAGTACGACACAAACCTCCGCTGTGGGTTTTCAAAACAAAATACAGTAAACCGATGGTTGCAGGCCCAAGTTTAACTCTCTGAGGTCTAAGCCATTTTTTCACATGTTAAGCTCGCCTGGGTTTTTTTTGTAAAAATGCTATTAAAACATGAACCTTGGTGACCATCGGGCTGGCCTGCATGGTCTGCCTACAAAACTAAAATAAAAGAACGTTTATGCAGCCCCAACAACAGCCTCTGATCATCAACAGACTTCATGCAATGCTTCATCGGATGAATATATTATAGTAATCTCTATCTATCTAACTCCTAACACATCTACATCGACTTCCAGCATGGATAAATGTTCATAAAAGACATCCATTGTGTGTTTTATACGTTTCTTGAAATAAAATAAAAAACACATTGTTTTTCTAGAACAGATTACAAATCGCCTGGAAATGGTACAAACACGTGTCAACATGTGTGACGAAGGTGTTGCGCGGGGCTATATCATGCAATGGAAAGTGAAACTTAAACTCGCTCCATTGCGGAGATATTCCCGCAAGAGTGCGGAAAACCAAAATTATTTTATTTATTTCAAATGTGAAATTTTACCAATATACTCACGGACCACTAGGGGGCGCTCACAGACCACCAGTGGTCCGCGGACCACACTTTGAGAAGCACTGGCCTAGGACAATATTTCCCCAACAATAAGTGCTGATTAAAGATCAACCCTTGGTGTAATCCCTCCCCAGGTGCAGCAGGAGGGGAAGAAGGAGGCGTCGGTGTCGGACGGCACCAACCAGAACTACACCGTGGGCCTGGTTGCCGTGGTGATCAGCTGCTTGTCGTCGGGTTTCGCCGGCGTCTACTTTGAGAAGATCCTGAAGGGCAGCTCGGCCTCCGTGTGGATGAGGAACATCCAACTGGGCGTGTTCGGCATGGCGCTCGGCATGCTGGGACTTTGGTGGAACGACGGAGACGCCATCGCCGAGCGCGGCTTCTTTTTCGGCTACACGGGCATGGTGTGGTGCGTCATCTTCAACCAGGCGTTCGGAGGGCTGCTGGTTGCCGTGGTGGTGAAATACGCCGACAACATCCTGAAGGGATTCGCCACGTCCTTCTCCATCATCGTCTCCACGGTGACGTCCATCTACCTGTTCGGTTTCCACGTGGACCTGCTCTTCACGGTGGGGGCGGGGCTTGTGATTGGAGCCGTCTACATGTACAGCCTCCCCAAAGCGGCGCCCAGCTCCTCGTCTCCTTCCTCCTCCTCCTCGTCCTCGTCCCCTTCCTCCTCCTCGTCCTCCTCGGCGTCTTCAGCGTTGAACGGAGGCGTCGAGATGGAGGCGTTTCTGCCAAAGTCAGTGCTGGTGAAGTGACTCTGTCTGTTTCCTCCTGATCTCCTCCTAACTCTCTGGAACTTTCTCTGAGTTCTCTCTAACTGTATCACCTCCTCCTGCTCTTTTGCTGACCTCCTCCTGACCTCTAACCTCCTCCTGACTTCCTCCTCTCCTCCATGTGAAGGAGAGTTAGTTAAAAGGACTCGACGAATGAGAGAACTCCCTCCTGATCTCCTGCTCAGCTTCTCCTAACTCTCTGGAACTTTCTCTGAGTTTCTAACCTCCTCCTGGCCTCCTCTTGACCTCCTCTTGACCTTCTCTTGACCTCCCACCTCCTCCTGACTTCCTCCTGACCTCCTCTGGACTTTAGGACATCCGGGCACGACGTAGCAAGCTAACCTTAATGTGGATATAACGACTAAAAAGGAGAATAATTACACATGCAGTAAATTACATTAATTTACTGTTATGTTTCCCATACCTCCAAAGTGTACTAAAACTGACGTTATTGTATGATAATAATGTGTATAACGCTCTTTAAAATACATCCACACCTCAAGGTGCTTCACGTCAAGGGGACACATATCACAAACTGTGGTGTGGAGTGCACCGAAGAACAATTTGAATATAGTTGTACGATAAATAAAACAAGGTGCAACTAATTTGCAGTTTTAAATGTGGCTGCTGCAAGGAATTGTGGGACGGCATTATCTCCTTTCCTTTAGCAAAGGATGCTCCAGTATCTCCTTTGCTTAAGGAGACGAGAAGGGGGAAGTATAGGAAGCTCCAAACAGCTCTTACCATAGAGATGATCTGAGGTCAGTTAGAAGCTTTTTATATGGAGGAAATATTGGATTCATCTCATGCTGACGTCCTCTTTACCTCTCCTAGATTTCATGACTTTTCCCTGACCTCCTTTCCTTTCTTCCTCCTCACCTCCTCCTGAGCTCAGCCTCTTAAAAAAAAACTGACATTTGTGGAGAACAAACTCTTCATCCTCCTCCTACTCCTCCTCCTCTTATCCTCCTGTCTGTGGCTTTTCATCACAGACTCTAAACAAAGACATCCTCCTCGCTTCCTCGCCTCCTCGCCTCCTTTTTCCTCTTGCTTTGTGGTGCAGAGGAGAGACTTTGCTTTCCTGCTTCCTCTGCTGAAGCTCCTTCTTACTCTTGATGAAGAGGAGGAGGAGGAAGAGGAGGGAAACTCCTTAAAAACTCCTTCTGCTCTCCCTCCCTAAAAACACTAACGTCTCTCTCCTCTCTCCTCCCTCCTCCCTCCTCCCTCCTCTCTCCTCCCTCCTCCCCCTCCAACCTCAGAAATAAAGAGCGAGGCGTCGAGTCTCCTCCCCTCGCCGTCTCCATCACAGACTAAAGCACAACAGATGGAGCATGATGATGAGGAGGAGGATGAAGACCACCTGTCTGTCTGTCTGTTTCCTCTCTGCCTTAAAACTCTTTACTTTACTAACTGAATGAAAGGAGAAGCCTTACGGGGCGCCGGACATATTACTGCTCTGATCCTCTGTCTTCACTGAGCAGCCGCAAATATACAATACAATATTATCATCGTTTTTCATTTGCAATTAAGGATTTATTTTTGCTAATTGATCTCAGATTTGTATAAAAATTATTATTGTATTTATTAGTATTTTTGTATTCAAAAAAAATGTGTTAAATAAGATATCCCACAATCCAACACGAGGTCAACATTTGATTTAGTCCATTTTATTTTTATTCTTTAAGTTATTTATATATTTTTTCTTCTACTTTTTTTTAACCGTCTCATGACAAGGACAACGCATGGTATTAAGGTTTCTTAAAATATGTGGAAAAAGTCTCGTCAAAATCAGAGATATTTGGTAAAACCACGAAATAATCAACGAATAAAAGTAGAATTAAATATTGACATTTCTTCCAAACACTTCCAAAACTCATAAATAAAAAACAATAGTGATAAATAAATAAATAAAACTCTGACACAAGAGAGTGTACAAATGTATTTATTTCGTCAACATCAAATGTTGGTTTCTCAAAATATGCAAAAACGTACGAATTTATTTTTTGCAAATAGTGAAAAAAGTCAAAAACTGAGATATAAGGTGTAAAAGCCAATCAAAGATCACCACTTTCATAAATTAAACCCTCAAAATATCTGACACAAGAGAGTGGAAGCATCTTTACACACTTCCTACCCTACTTAGCGTTGGAAATAAAAAGATTTGGACTTTTTGTGTCAACATTTCTCACAGGATTTGTATATTAAAGCATCTTCAGACCTTATTTCCTCTCTGTTACACTCTCCTGATGCTCTGTTTGGAGAGTACAAACACCCCATAAGGATTTCACGAGACAATTCTGAGTTCCTGTTCTCGTTTCACAGCTTCAGACCTGATTTCATCTCCTAAAAATCTACTATTCGGAGAGAAAAGAGTGCCAAAAAAACCCTAAAAATGTTTTAAAATGAAAGTCTGGCTGCCTTATATTGCCTTCAAAAAGATACGTCATTTCTATGTTACACTCCTCTGATGCTCTGTTTGGAAGAAGAAGGATTTCACAGAGACATTTCTATTAATGCTGGAGTTCAGACCTGATTTCATCTCCTAAAAATCTACTATTCGGAGAGAAAAGCGTGCCAAAAAACACCCTGAAAATGTTTTGAATGAAAGTCGCTCTGCTCAGTGAAGACAGGTCAGAGGTCGAGCTCCTCTTGCTGTCGGCGTCGCTCTGAGACGTTAGTTTTCGGTGCCTTTTTGTATTCATCTGTACAGAAAGCCATACGATTGTTAGCGGTACAGTTCTCTCTCAAACAGCTGGATCTAAAAACTCTCCGTGTTTCTCTTCATTTCTACTTGAAGGGACTCGAAGTGTCTCCTCGGATCAGCCGCTGTGTGACGGAGCTGATCCTCTTTTTATACAAACGAATGAATCGTAATAATGATTACTCTCACGTTGGGCGTCCTGTTGAAGGAGGCGTCCTGAATGTGTCCGTCGAGCTGCTTCCTGTTGTTTACGTTTCACTTTGGTGAGGAACAGGTTTTGGGTGTTTTGTTTCCAGATCTCTGCAGGACACGAGACACAAGAGTCTGTTTTATCGGTTTAGGGCCGCACGATGTGGTAGAAGCAACTTATAACGATTATTTTGACTTGGGATATAGGAGGTATTGATCATTTTTGCATCCTTATTTTCATCGGTGATTTATCGGTGATTTATCGGTGATTCATCGGTGATTCATCGGTGATTCATCGGTGATTCATCGGCGATGAATCAGATTTATCGGTGATTCAATGGTGATTCATCTGTGATTCATCGGTGATTTATCGGTGATTCAATGGTGATTTATCGGTGATTTATCAGTGATTCATCGGTGATTCATCGGTGATTCATCGGTGATTTATCGGTGATTTATCGGTGATTCATCGGTGATTCAATGGTGATTCATCGGTGATTCATCGGTGATTTATCGGTGATTCAATGGTGATTCATCGGTGATTCATCGGTGATTCATCGGTGATTCATCGGTGATTCAATGGTGATTTATCGGTGATTTATCGGTGATTTATCGGTGATTCATCGGTGATTCAATGGTGATTCATCGGTGATTCATCGGTGATTCAATGGTGATTCATCGGTGATTTATCGGTGATTCATCGGTGATTCATCGGTGATTCATCGGTGATTCATCGGTGATTCAATGGTGATTTATCGGTGATTTATCGGTGATTCATCGGTGATTTATCGGTGATTCATCGGTGATTCATCGGTGATTCATCGGTGATTCATCGGTGATTTATCGGTGATTCAATGGTGATTCATCTGTGATTCATCGGTGATTTATCGGTGATTCAATGGTGATTTATCGGTGATTTATCGGTGATTCATCGGTGATTCATCGGTGATTCATCGGTGATTCAATGGTGATTTATCGGTGATTTATCGGTGATTTATCGGTGATTCATCGGTGATTCATCGGTGATTCATCGGTGATTCATCGGTGATTCATCGGTGATTTATCGGTGATTTATCGGTGATTCAATGGTGATTCATCGGTGATTCATCGGTGATTCATCGGTGATTCATCGGTGATTTATCGGTGATTCATCGGTGATTCAATGGTGATTCATCGGTGATTCATCGGTGATTTATCGGTGATTCAATGGTGATTCATCGGTGATTCATCGGTGATTCATCGGTGATTCAATGGTGATTTATCGGTGATTTATCGGTGATTTATCGGTGATTTATCGGTGATTCATCGGTGATTCAATGGTGATTCATCGGTGATTCATCGGTGATTCATCGGTGATTCAATGGTGATTCATCGGTGATTTATCGGTGATTCATCGGTGATTCAATGGTGATTTATCGGTGATTTATCGGTGATTCATCGGTGATTCATCGGTGATTCATCGGTGATTCATCGGTGATTCATCGGTGATTCATCGGTGATTTATCGGTGATTCAATGGTGATTCATCGGTGATTCATCGGTGATTTATCGGTGATTCAATGGTGATTTATCGGTGATTTATCGGTGATTCATCGGTGATTCATCGGTGATTCATCGGTGATTTATCGGTGATTCATCGGTGATTCATCGGTGATTCAATGGTGATTCATCGGTGATTCATCGGTGATTCATCGGTGATTCATCGGTGATTCAATGGTGATTCATCGGTGATTCATCGGTGATTCAATGGTGATTCATCGGTGATTCATCGGTGATTCAATGGTGATTCATCAGTGATTTATCGGCGCTTCGTTGTTGTTTTACTCCTGCAGATCGACATGGAGATAAAATACATAAAACAATAACAAAATAATGTTTGTTTTCCTCCCAAAGTAAACAAATATCTTCTGTTTTTTTAATGTCTTTATCGGAATCAAGAAGAGAACAAGAGAGTTAATTTTTTTATTTTCAGTTTTTTGTTTTGGGAAAAAAAGTATATATTAATATATCGGTTGTTTTTATTTAATGTGGGAATGAAAGGCTGTTTGTTTTGGGTGTTTGTTGGTGGAGGAGAAACAGGAAGCTCCGTTACACGTTATTATCCTGTTGGTTTAATTCATTTTTATATTTGATTTTGGGAAATTAAAATTAACTGAGAGCCGTCGAGCAGAAATATTTTTACTTTATTTAATTTTTTTTATTCTGTTATCTGTGTGTGTGTGTGTGTGTGTGTGTGTGTGTGTGTGTGTGTGTGTGTGTGTGTGTGTGTGTGTGTGTGTGTGTGTGTGTGTGTGTGTGTGTGTGTGTGTGTGTGTGTGTGTGTGTGTGTGTGTGTGTGTGTGTGTGTGTGTGTGTGTGTGTGTGTGTGTGTGTGTGTGTGTGTGTGTGTGTGTGTGTGTGTGTGTGTGTGTGTGTGTGTGTGTGTGTGTGTGTGTGTGTGTGTGTGTGTGTGTGTGTGTGTGTGTGTAAAAAATCTCCGGATAACAGGATAAAAAAAATTGCAAAGAGAGATATTTTGCTTTTACAATTTTGAATTCATGACTCAAAGTAAAAATCACTACAGACGAGTTCTTCAGAAATCACAGGATTAATTATTTGTTATTATTGTTGTCTTCCTCCTCCTGTGTGTGGGATCGTTCTGACGGGACGGACGGGTTTCCCTCAGTTTTGATCGTTTTTGCACTCGTTGTACCTGAACCTGTAAATACTTCTTTTGGTAAAGTTTTATATAAACACGGATATGAACTCAAAGACTCTGCAGTTTGTCTTAATTTGTAGTTTAAAAGGTCACCTATTATTCAAAATCCACTTCTTCATGTCTCTTCTTCATCAACATGTGTCCCCTCTTCTTCATGTCTCTTCTACATCAACATGTGTCCCCTCTTCTCCATGTCTCTTCTACATCAACATGTGTCCCCTCTTCTTCATGTCTCTTCTACATCAACATGTGTCCCCTCTTCTCCATGTCTCTTCTACATCAACATGTGTCCCCTCTTCTTCATGTCTCTTCTACATCAACATGTGTCCCCTCTTCTTCATGTCTCTTCTACATCAACATGTGTCCCCTCTTCTTCATGTCTCTTCTACATCAACATGTGTCCCCTCTTCTTCATGTCTCTTCTACATCAACATGTGTCCCCTCTTCTTCATGTCTCTTCTACATCAACATGTGTCCCCTCTTCTTCGTGTCTCTTCTACATCAACATGTGTCCCCTCTTCTTCATGTCTCTTCTTCATCAACATGTGTCCCCTCTTCTTCATGTCTCTTCTACATCAACATGTGTCCCCTCTTCTTCATGTCTCTTCTACATCAACATGTGTCCCCTCTTCTTCATGTCTCTTCTACATCAACATGTGTCCCCTCTTCTTCATGTCTCTTCTACATCAACATGTGTCCCCTCTTCTTCGTGTCTCTTCTACATCAACATGTGTCCCCTCTTCTTCATGTCTCTTCTTCATCAACATGTGTCCCCTCTTCTTCATGTCTCTTCTACATCAACATGTGTCCCCTCTTCTTCATGTCTCTTCTACATCAACATGTGTCCCCTCTTCTTCATGTCTCTTCTACATCAACATGTAACAGACAGATAATCAGCACTTTTGAAACAGGGCTGAA